TTTTGACCGAAAGAAAGATCCGGAGGAATAGCCGATCCATTAGAAGCGTTTCAGACCAGTGGCGGCGATAGAGTGGACACTCATTCTTGTGATACTTCCAGTCATTCTTCTGACACTCTTTACTGCAGTAATACATGTGAAGACATTTCGCGCATCTCTTCAGTTGATCCGATCGTTGGACACAATTATCGCAATAATTGTCTTTGTATTCGTCGTGTAGGATATGAATGAATGGTATGTCTTGAGTGATCACATCTCCCGGTGATAACGGTTTCGACAGTTTTGGTGACATTTCTGGCCTTAAAATTGCAAAACAGATGAAAAACACGTGTTTTAAAAATGCAATTCTCAAGACTTACCACTGATTTGATGAATGAATCCAATTGTTGTCAACAAAAGTCAAACCAAGTATTTGTCTAAACAAATTGAGTGTCACTTTTGGGAACAGCTCTTGAGCTCAACTAAACTCCAACTGACTATTGAGTGACTGATTAAACCAAAGGACTAATGGATTAAAGACACGTGTTTTCAGACTAACAGCAAGTGTTGAATGGATTAGTGTTTGGCATTCAATAGGCTTTGGGAGGCATTTGTTTAGTGAATGCAATGATCACGTGATTTGTATTGAAATATCAATAGCTTATTATTATTGGTCATAAATTGGGCGCTAATTTCAATGCAATAAATTATTGCCAATAATTGATTGTTTAAATGAAAAATACTTTAATTTAATTGATTATGATTTTGATCGCAATTTCATTTAATTGTGTATATGTTATAATAATTAACATAATTTTTATACTTTGAATGTAATAAATAAAGTTATATAATATTTAATTTTAATTTAATTTTAGTGCTATTTTGATCTCAAAATAAATGATAAAAGTTTTTGATTAACTCTTGGAAAATGCAATACTTCCCAGTAGATAGTACCTAGGTACTAGAAAAATAAGTCAGGTTATTGAGTACTCACTTATCGTATTATGATTTAAAGCATTTGATATTTCAAAGAAAAATATAACTCCTTTTATGGCACAAAATCAATGATAACTGTGTTCTCTATAACCCATCCTATGATAACTGTACCGATGTATTCAAACACGTTTATATACCGGGGGTAACCATGCAATGCAATTAGTTTATCAAATTAAGATGGTCATGGCCAATAAATAAAAATGCTATATTATTTTAATTCTAAAAATGTAATATTCTGGTTAATTGGTGTTTAAATAAAGTCAAGTGTAATTTAGTAAAGCAACGATTTAATATTTAATTTTGAAGTTGGTGGGCAAATTATCATCAGCACATATTGCATCTTGATCACGACATACAACTGTATAACCTGTAAATACAATTAGTCACGTAGTATTCAAACTATGTAGGTAAAATTTGTGGTATATGTTTAGCACCAAATCGTATAAATAGACCAAAACTTTATTCAATAATTTCATAGCAATTGTGGGACAAAACAATAGCAGTCATTATGAAAATTATAATTGCCTTAACGCTGTCTTTGGCTCAACTCTACGGTCTTATAGACTGTGTTGAGTACACGGACTGCGGTTCAGTTGACGGTCGGGTGACGGCTATAGCGGTGGCCGGTTGTGGTCCGGGAGACGAGTACTGTCAGCTCAAAGGTGGCAAAAAGGCCAGCATTGATGTCAATTTTATCTCAAGTATAGTATAATAAAATAATAAAAAAATTGCAGTTGTTTATAATTTTGTAAAACATTTTTTTAAAATTTTTCTTGTATACAGACGTGGACACCGATAAATTGACTCTCATATTAATTGGTTATGTAAGAACATAATTAAGAATATACATAATATTGTAATTATTAACTAATTTGATAAATTTGTGTTACGTTTACAGCTAGGAGGTTCGGAGGTATGGTCTTTGAAAAAGTAAGTGAATTACTGTATGGTTTGGCTGTAATTGCAATGTAGTGATCACTACAATAAACTAGCCTAAATCTAGTTTAATTATTTGAAAAGCTTATGGTAAACTCTTGTTGATAGGGATGCCTGCGGTGGTGAATACAACGTCAAGTGTCCGCTCAAAAAGGGCTCACAGAATGAGATGAAGATCGCGATGGATGTGCCGGACATACCGTCGGATATTAAGGTTGAGATCGCTGTGGATCTGTTGGACACCAGCGGTAAACATATGTTTTGCCAACGATTTCCCGCTGAAATACACCCGTAATAACCATATTGTTTAACTAAATATATGCCTAAATTGTCTAAATTCAATTTTATACCATGGTATTTATTATAAATCTTAAAAATGATGCATCAATAAATAGAAAAATTAAATTCATTAAAATATTGTGTTATTTATTATGTGTTTGACAAATGATAAATACCTGTAATTAAGAAATTGTTATTTAAATGTATTTTTAAATTCCAGTATTATTTTGTTTGATACTTAATAAATAACAATTTTAATTTAACATAAATACAAAATCTCATTACTTAAATATTGCATGAATTTAATTAAAATATGATTTCTTAGAATATTAAGTAATAAATAATTATATGACTAAATTAAAGCTTAAATTAAGTATTTATAATATACATTTTATATAATAACAGATAACAAAATTTTCAATAACCCCAATATGTTTTGTATCCAATGGTGGTCTTTAATAAAATAATTATAATTTAAATAAAATTAATATTATTTTGAAAAATGAAGTATTTATGCCTTTACCTTATATTAATTGTAAATATATTTTTTGGTTTTTAAAATAAAAATAAATTCTTTAATATTTTAAATAAAATAAAAAGCAAATTATAACCTAGGCATATTAAAATATGTGTACGTGATTTAATACCCCATAGTAACAAATGAGGTTCATTGGGTTCATATACTTCAATACCTATTAATAACCACTAAAATATATTTCTATTGATACTGACTTAATATTAAAAATAATAGATTAATTCTTAAACATGTTTAAGTATTAGTAGTTATGACAGACACATAATGTAGATAAGTGTCTGTATTCTATTTAATACTTTCAATATTTAAATAATTTAAGATAAATTAATTAAAATTAAAATAGTTCATGATGATAATTTAAATTAATACTAGTTAAATAATAATAATAGCAATCTAATTTGAAATTAACATAACAAACTAAAAGTTATTACAATAATTGCATAATGATCCAAAACCCATCATAGCAACAACAGGAGATCATTGGGAACACAGTTATCATTAAGTCATAAGTCATAGGATACAAAAGGATTATATAATCATCACTTGAATGTGTGCTCACAAATGCTCAGTACATGTGAATTTATATCCGTTTTATTATCGTTTCAATTATTAAAATAATTTCGTTTGTCTTAAAAACAACAAAAATTTCAGGAAATATACAAATATCTACAAAAATTTTGTAAAATATAGAAAAAATACCATAAGCTTATTTGTTTGTTGTGATGGATTATACATCGTATGACATAAAAAATAAATATTTTTTGCGGTAAAATTATGATAAAGTTCGTTCCTAATAACCCCTCACAATATACTGTACTCTATGTGTTAAACACTTCAACTGAATTGAAATGCCAATAAATATAGATAATTATATTTAACTAACTCGTTGAGTGTTGTGTATAAAAACATTAGCATTACAATTAACCCAAGATGTGCAAGGTTGTACACAGGGAACTACAGTAAGATTGTAATATTTTACCTAATCTATAATAATACAGCATACAGAATTTATATTAAAAATTGTTTTAATTATAAATGATCATGTACAATTGGCAATCAACATAGTATCACGCGATATACCCAACGAACTTTGCGATTCCTTGAATTTACCTTCAGATAAGCACCTGTACATCGGTTTCAATTATATTTTATCTCATATCTTCCCATTGTTTTAACATTGAAATCATTGCTTATATTTAAAGTAACTATTTTATGACAAACAATCGGTTGGGGGTATAAATGGATGCTAGGGTTGGGTCACAGTATAACATTTCCTTAAGTTAAATAAAAAGTTTAATTAATACAATAAATTAAGTAAAACATGGATAATTAAATATTAAATAGTTAATAAAACAACTAGCTCATACAATGCATTAATTGTTCTGTATAAAACAAGTGCTAACTAAAAATAAATGGTTATACTTCGATTTAAAGTGCGGTACATTATTTTTGCTTTCGGCTGATATAGACCTGAAATAAGGATTAAATGTGAGATAAAAATCATACATTTATACAAAAATATTTCGATTAAAAACTAGACACTGGAGACAAACAATCAATGCTTAGTTAAACGTCTCAACAGTTGTATAAATACAGGTGTATTTGCCTTCACAGCCAACAAACCATTTGTGAAACAAACTTATTGTTTAAACAATAATTTGATTGCAAATCAGTTATAATGAACGCATTTCTAACCCTCGCTGTGGCGGCCATCGCATTGACCGGTTGTGTTCAGTCGGTCGACATCACGGACTGCGGTTCAGTTGACGGCACCGTCACATCGGTTTCGGTTAAGGGCTGCGGACCCGGCGATGAGTACTGTACGTTCAAGACGGGCACCAACGCCGGCATTGACATCAAGTTTGATTCCAGTATGTATTTATTAATTTACATGTATCACTTTAAATATAGTATTTTAAATTCAAATGTACCTGTTTAATATAGAGGTGGACACGAGCTCTGCCAAAGTGAAACTCTGGGCTGTTGTAAGTATTGCTTTAATTAAATTACCTTATTTTAGTCAACTTAATTTAAACTTAACTTAATTAATTAATTAAAACTTACTATAACTCTAATTTGCCAGATCGCTGGTTCGCCAATTGAGTTCCCGTTTACTCACAGGTAAGACAAATAAGTGATACTTTAAATAAATAAATATTCAAAAATATAGTCAATATTTAATTAATTTTAAATTTTAATTATTTTAATTAAATGAATGCGTTTTTGCACATTATAGCGACGCGTGTAAAGAGTGGGGACTTCACTGTCCGCTAACAAAGTCGAGTCACAACGAGTTTAAGCTTCAAATGCCAGTCGAGAGCTCTTACCCTAAAATCAAGCTCAGTATCCGAGTCGGTCTCGAAGACGCCGCAGGAAAACTGCTTATCTGCCAAGAAATACCCGCTGAGATCAAATAAATTGACCATGCTTATTTACTAAATTAATTAATTTGCAGCTTAATAAATTAATAATTTTGTTGTTTCAAACAACATTTTATAACTTTTAAATTTAAAGTTTAAAATTTTAATACATCTAATTAAAGAATTGTATTTAATGATAATTACATCAAAATTATATATCATTTCTATAAATTAAATTAAATTAAATAGATAAATAATTTATTGAATTGCTTATAAAATTTAAAAGTGAAGGCTTTTACTAATATATGAAAAGAAAATGTGCGATAATGTCATTCCCAATAACCCTATGTTTATCATTGTTTTACTATAAATGACAAAATTGCTGCCATGGATATAATAATTGGTCGAACATAGATATACATGTATGTTTTGACAAAATATACTTGCGACTAATTTATAAGACTATTTTGACGTAATACAAATTACAATGGTAACAGATAACCATTGAGGTTCATTGAGAACTAAATATTTTATTAGCTACAAATACAAATATAATATAATGTTATTTCTATTAATATTAAAAATTGTCATTTAAATTGTAGATTACTTTAAGTATTTAGAACAGATTTATCAGGCATATCAATAATTAGTTATGAACATGATACCCTTAATGTGTTTAATACATTTTTAGTATTGGAATATCATAGTAAATATTAATTATAAACTGTTATTAAATAAATATATAATTGCTGCATACATAAAACCTAACAAACACAAAGTAAATTGGTACAAAATGAATAAAATAAATATAAAAAGCAAAAAAGGACTGTGTCGTGACCAGGATTCGAACCTGGGTTATTGCGGCCACAACGCAAGGTACTAACCACTATACGATCACGAC